CTGAATATTTTTGTGAGCAAGTGGCATGTTCGTAATCCACCACTCTAACTCAGTCAGGGACCTAGCTGACAACTTCATATGTGCATTATAGTTTCCCTTGCTAGAGATAAGGGCATTGGTCTTATCTTGCTCTAAGGACCTATAGTATAGGGGTCCATGTTGTGACCCTGGGAAATTTGAAACTATTACTCCGACGACTTCGGCTACTTCTGAAATTAATGGATGTTGTTTTCCTTTAAGCTTTTTGCAAACTGCTAATGATTTCCCCGCTTTCTGTATTGTTGGGGATACAGTCATATTGAAAAAATATAGGATAAATCCTAGAAATGTTAACCTTTGTATTGGTTCAATAACCGACTTTAAGGGATGCAGATGAAACCCTAGCTTTTTAAATAAAGTGACTGTGTCCTTAACATTATTTAAGCATTCCCCATAGGTATCTCCTTGAAGGTATGAGTCATCGATGTAGCCCACACTTAAATGACCTAAACTATGCAGATGTGCATAGGCGGGTTTCAGCAATTTTGTGAAGATACGAGGTGCACTGGACAAGCCATTAGGCAGGCAGGTATATTCATACAGTTTCCCCTCAAACATAAATTTAAGATATTTTCTATSTTCTTCTGCTATAGCTACTGTATAGTACGCATCCTTAAGGTTATTGAAGCCATATAACAGGCTGGCTTGACTATTCTGATGGCAGATTCTAATGAATCCATTTTGAAATGGTGATACTGTAAATGTTTTAAGGTTTAATATGGTTCTGTAAGTGCCATCAGGTTTTGGTCTTAAGAAAATAGGGGAGATAAACTCTCYCTGCWCGTGRAATGATTCCKTAATTACCCCTTTTTGCATGAGTTTGTTAAGTTCTTCATATACAATAGCTTTTTCCTTCAAGTTAAACATACTTGGTCTAACATGAGTTTGAGTTGGTACAATATTATTGGCAAATTCAATGTACACCCCTCTGACAAACTGAGTTATTATATGATCGGTAGTGATAGAGGACCAACTTTGCAAAGCTGATGTAAGTTGTCCTGCCCTAAAGGCAGTTTGACCTTCAATGATACCCTTGACTTCGTCATGGGTGCTTACGTTTGCATTAAGATGATAGTCATTACTGGTATTTACCTGATTTGAAGTATTGTCATTTATTTTTTTCCCTTTTGTGGTCGGAGAGCGGCCTTTGGATAAAAAATTGTCGTTTCGTGTTCTTGAGTAAGAGTATTGAGTAAATCGTCGGTTTCGGTTACTCTGGTTAGAGTAATACTGACCTGTGGATTTTCGGCCACGTGTGCTGTGGGCCGATAAGGGTCTTACTCGTTTAGTTAGTTTGTTTGCATCTGCGATGTCTTTGGTCAACTTTGATAGTTCATCAAACAGGTACTCTGACGAGGCCGGGACCTTTGTCGTGTTGCATAAGGCGCCATAGTCCTGGTGAAGATCTTTCTTCATGGATTGGCGCCTCGTGCTGTTTACATCATGCAAACAATTCATTGCTAAAGCAATGCCATCCGTGAGGTGGGTTAATAATTCTTTGTTATCATCTTTGTTTTGCTTCAAAAAAATGTCGCTCGCTTTCGTGATAGCGACTAGAGATGYCACAAGTGAATTTTGTGTTTTTTGGTATTTGGAGCCCTGTGTACGGACTTGTGCAGAGAGTTGATTCCAGATCAAAGGGTTGACTCGAGGCGTCCTTAATCCCTCAATGYTTGCTGGCTTTGGGTATTGTTCTACTTTTGTTTGCGTCTTTTCATCTGGTATCTTATCTTTTAAGAGACCAYTGACWATTTGTGCCAGCTCCTCATCAACTGCACTCCCTGTCTTTTCGCTCAGGTCGAGATCTTGAGCGATGTCATGTAGTATGTTTGGCTTACTGCCATTTTTGTTTCCCTCCGCGCGGGATAGTCGTTGGACTTTAGTGTCCAAGGACACAATAGATTCCGCCTCAGCGGCTTCATTATCTYGGTCATCGACCTCATTATCATTTTCCTCGTCGTTCAGGTTGACGGGCTCTGTGAAATTGTCCAGTTTTCTGTTCATGGACCGCATTTCTTCTACGAGTGTCTTAAACATGCCCTCCAAGCCGCTCGCTGGAGTCTCGTCGGCTTCTACCTCGCGTTCTTCAGTATCTGACATTCTAACTACGTTAGAACGAGTGTCACAAACTAACTGCGTTAGTTTTTAAATCTAACTACGTTAGATTTCGAGGTATTAAGTGTTTTTTTTTCGCTGATAAAAACTTTCCACGGTGCACACCGCTGCAATGACTTGACGCATGCGCTGTGCTATCTCATGGGATCTCCATGCCTCCGGTCATGTGATAGAATAGTACTTGAATGGACAAGACAATKGCCATCGCCTCGTTAACTTCTAGATACCTTTTGATAGGAACCTTTATCATTTATTAGATAAGAATTTCATATCAATGAGCTATACGATTGTTAATGCAAAAAAGTGTAGGTATTATTTTTTTGATAGCTTTGCAAGGGGTATACGTATGTAACAATTTGTCCGCACAAATTAAAGTTGACAAAACATGAAAATTATAAACTAAAGTGATATGACTTCGCCGTGCACCACGTGAAAAGCTAACAAATTTGCGAACAATTTTTTAGTAGGATCATTTGTTTTTACTTCATCGAGAAAAAAATACCCAGTTTTCTTGAATTAATGCTGATAAAGTTTTCAAATAGTTCCCAGGATTGGCATTTGTTCCGTATGATAGATTTTCCAAAAAAGTTTGTTCTTTTGCTTTTTTTTAATATTCGCGTCAGCGTTTTTGTTTGTTTGTTTTTGTGTTTTTTGACTCAAGTTTTAACTGAAGGTGTAGGGTTTCCTGTGTTCAAGATGGCGAATGGCCGAAGATTTCAAGGCACAAAAATTTAACGCTGTTGGACGCTGTTAACATGTTCTTCATAAGTTGAAACGGAACTAGATTGGTATAACAATGTGCAATTGTTAATTTGATGTTGTCTAGATATGCAACCTGATGAATAGCAGATATTTCGATGCAACCGGCACTCTCACTCGATTTAATTGAGTCAAAACCTAGCTTTCATCTTTTTTATTTCGATGGAAACGATATGATATAAAGGTTAGCTTTCTATTCTAACAGTTCCTTCTACAAACCAGCTCAACTGAGTTGAGAATTTGTAAGATGAAAGGTCAGTTCAACACTGCTATTCAACTTTGATATTGAGTGTAAAATAATCTAAAAAACACAGAATATCATACTCGAATAGCATCGAACCTAGGATCGCGGGTTCGATTCTCAACTTGATTGCTTCTACAACAATTCGTTTTTTTTCTTTCCYTCTTTCTTTTACTGAGAAATATTATTATTTATTATATGGCTTGTAAATTTCCTGAATGCTTATTGGCTGACGCGAGTTCCGTCCAGAGCCGTWTTGAACCGTTGCTATGGTATCAGTCCAACTTCCATATTTAAGTTGGACCGAGTAGAGGGAATCAAGACAACTTTGTTTATCAGATTTGAGAGTTTCTTTGCAATAAAAAAAATTCAAACAAAATCCAAATTTTTTAATGATCTGAAAGAAAGATGGTTCAATTTCAACAATTCCCGCCTTTTTGCCCGCGCTCGCGTCTTAGCACTTGACTTTCCCGCTCTTTTCCGAGTTGTTTTCAAGGCCAACGGCATCAATCCAGCTTAGAAATACTCAATAAGTATTTATCACAATTWAAAGATTTAAAGCACTTCGCGTCTATCAAGTTTACTTGGACAATTTCTCGATGCAATAGCTCCTCGGTTGCTGGAAAAGAAAGAAAATTGTAATAGGCCTTATCACGGTTTTCGACGCCATTTTGTCCAATAAGCACGAAGTTCSGAGGCGAGGCTACAAAGCCCCATACATTCTTTGTAATTTTGACGGAGGATTCACGAGGCGGTGATATAATTTCCTTGTTTTTTCACTTAAATCTTTAGCCAATTTGGGTAAGTGAATTGTCACGTTTATTACCAAATTTGAACCGGTTGAGAACTATATTACCCCGATTTTATGTGAATTTCTGAAGCTGACGTATGCAAATTTACCACGTGGCGATGCGTGCAAATCAAAACAAACACTACGAGATGTATCCAACCAGGATTTGGGCAAATTCCACATGAAAGATAATTACAATTGAGTGAAGTGTTTTAAGAGATCTTTTTTCTTATTTCAGGCATTTAAATGTCGGCAGTTTATAAGCCCAACAAAGCTCACTGCTGCGCTGGAGTTATTAACCTCGCTTGCTCGATCTGTACGGGAAAGTATCAGACCTCGGTCTTTTATGTACGGACTGTCAAGACCTCGGTCTGATATTTTCCCGTACAGAACTCGCGCTCGGTAATAACCTCTTTCTATTCTTGTCATGTTTTTTTCTATAACTGTAGATTCTAACTAACATGACTAGAACAACTATATATTTCAGTTGAAAAAAGAAAGAAAGAAAGAAAGAAAGAAAAAGAATTTTTCAGACGCGCTCGAGTCGTGAATCGAACCTGGGTCACTTGGGATTGCTAAACTGCGAAGTGAAAAAAAATAAAATAAAAATATGCAAATGACTCTTTTGTTGTCTTTACTGGCCTTGAGAACTTAACATGTTAATAGGGATTGGCTGTATAAAGCTATAATCATTCATGAATCATGAAAATAAAAAAAACTGACACATATTTGTGTACCATACATACAGGGTGATATGAACTTGATGTTTTGAGATACCACAAGACATCCTGCACCAGGCAATATAGTACCATGCAGACAGGAAATGAGACTAGAAGATAACAATTGTACAATTTGATCAATTATTGTGAATCCACTGCTAGTATTTTTTAAAAGCTAAAAGAAAACAACCAGGATAGTATCCAGAATTTGCTGTTGTGGAGAGGGAAAGAGAAGAGAGAGGGTCATTTAAGTTACAAAACTCTCAATAATGATGTGAATTTGATGTTGTCATAATATATCAGTGTCATCAAACTCTATTGTCTTAAACGTAAAAGAATTATGAATAAGTTTATAAAAAGGTTATTATAAAAAGTTAGAATAAACAAATTTCCTTATCTGATAAAGCCGATGTAATTATTATAGGTTATATTAATAAAGCCAGTAACAGAAAAAGTACATCTATTTCTAGTAACTTATCAAAATAAATTCCAATTTTTGTGGCTAGTGCATYGGAACGAGGCTCAAGCCACTATGCTATCGCCTTGTAAGTGGTATGAATGTAATTCGGGCTAACTTCGTGACTGACTCGTTTTTACTCAGGTACATATTCGTTATTTTTCGGATATATTCGTAATTTTCCGTCATAGTTGGGTTTCCTGTGTAATGACGTCGCAACTAATCCTGCCTACCCCTCCCTCATAACTGTCTACGACTTACCTAAAGCACCCCTCCCTAACTATCATCTTGTACGCGTGGACACCTCGCTATACCGATAGTCAGTCGGGCGCGCATACAATATTAGCCATTCCGGAGTTATGAAATGAATTGCAATTTCTGTCATATTGAGCCAATCGAAAAACTAACCGTATCACTAAAAAGACTTTATCGACTTTAGTGTAGGTTCCACGTTACAGATCATTTGGACAAATATTCAATTAATGAGAAGCCGCGTCCCCCAAAACAATACATTCTCTCATTTGACTTTTACTCCGACGAAGGATTAACGTCCGAAACGTCAGTAAGTTATTTCACATAYTTTTTTTACGGTGTTAAATTTATCTTTTTACACAACTGTTTCTTTATAAACACCGACGCAGCTCACGCTAGTTTACCGCTAGTTCCCACCATTTTACACAACTGTGTTTTTTGGGGGTGGCCCTAGTTATGCTAATTTGTTTGTTGGTTACATTGAAAACCTTATCTTTCARCAATATACCGGTCCTAAACYTGAGTTTTTTGGCCGCTATATTGACGATTGTATTGGTGCTACCTCGTGTTCTCGTGACGATTTAGACTCTTTCATTTCTTATGTGAATTCTTTTCATCCTGCCTTAGAATTCACTTCTGAAGTCAGTGACAGGTCAGTCACTTTTCTTGACATTCAAGTCAGTATTACTGACATTCATCTCAGTGCTACTGTGCATTATAAGCCTACTGATTCTCACTCTTATCTCCTCTATTCTTCTTCTCAYCCTAAGCATACTCTTAATGCCATTCCTTTCTCTCAATTTCTACGTCTCMRTCGCTTGTGCAGCGACGATGACTTTTCGAACAAATGCATGGGTTTCGTTCCTTTTTAACTCGAAGATTGCGAAGCAATCGAAGAGTTATTGGAGGGGGACGAGTCTGTCACTCACTCAATCACTCACTCACTCAGTCACTCACTTTCCTGTAAACTTGAGCTTGCGTTACTTCAGGACTATTCAGAACTAATATAAAAATTAGGTAACACCTAATAGCGGAGCTCCA